TTTTATAACTACAGTTGCCTTTTGATTAAAGAGCGGTGGTTGATTTAAGGACCTCCATCCAGTCCAGATCTTGTGCATGACCCTCCTCCTCCTCACATCAGCACCAAGTCTTATGTTTTGTTGCAGAGCTCCTGCTGTCTGCAAGCAGACAGGCTCCTGCAATCCCAAGATCCTACCTCTGATTCCTCCACCCTTTTCTTACCTCCCCCTTCCAAAGGAAACGAAGTATTTGGCGGCCACCACCATTTGCATTGCAGGCATCTGAATACATCAGTCAGATTTGTTGCTCCCCGCCACTGGATTGTGACTGAGGCACCATAGAAAAATATATTCTTAGCCGCATAAAACCCAGCCAGCACACCAGTGGCACAGAAACTTAACTTTATATCATGTCTTCCAGTTTCTCCCTATCCCCCCCCATCCCCCCTCCCTTACTGCAGACACCACGGCCCAGGACCCGTTCAGCTGCAGGCCAGAAACTGTGCTGGCAAAGTCAGATGTCTCCAGGAGGCTTCGGAAAGCTGTCCTCTGGACTTGTGCTTAGAGGAGCAAGGGTCTTCTGGCTGGCTTTGGCTAAAGGGATTCCTTATGGATCCCATTGGCGTGTGCAAGGGGAATGTGCACCGTGTACTCATTTATCAGTGCAGACGTGTTCCTGAGCATCTCGTGGAACGTGTCCACTGTCTTCCTGTAAACATCCCTGCGTAGCACAAAGGGACGGAAAAGGTTGAGAGGCTCAGCCCTCTGGAATACGATGGGGAAGCCCAGCTCTGCTGGCACCTTCCCATTGCCGATGAAGAAGTGGCAGAGCTTCTTTTCATGCAAACATTTCTCCAGGAATTTCATCATGTCCCGTAGACGGGCCTCCAACTTCTCTGGGGCCCAGTCCTGACTGGGACACGCCTGCAGGAGATGCATCATCACTGTCTTCAGGTGGTAGTTGGTGAGCCCGCTTGGACCTGTGAGGCTGCACTGCTTCCCGTGGAGGAAGGAGAGGATCTGAAGGCAGCTGACATGGCAGGCGTTGGCAGGCAGTGTTTTGGAGACCAGCTGGATGAACCTTCTCTCATACACTGCGAAGGTGACAAACCAGTGAGTGCTGGAGGGGAGGTCTGCTGCCAGGCTGCTCCGAGGGAAATGAGAGATGAAGTAAACATCGGAGTTCTCGTACTGCACCACAGGGGTGAGGTTGAAGGCAATCGATTTCCCTGACCTAAATTTTATCTTCAGGGCTCCCGGGGAGTCCAGGAGGCTGAAGGAGAGGTCAAATTCATACTTGTGGGAGATTCTGTTCCAGGCCTTGGTGACCGCAATCTGGAACCACTTCATGACTTGGTTGGCATCCAGATATTGAGTATTTTTGAAGTACAGGAGGTCTTCCATCTCACTGCTGGGCCTGGTAGTATTGGCTTGACTATGCAGGAGGCACAGCATATCTTCCCCTAGTTTAGTCTTGTCACAGATGCAACCTGTCACAGCCCCATCTGCCCTGCAAACCTTGATAGTGCCATAACCTTGTTCATCGGGGGGAGAAGAGGTGCCAGAGCACCAGGTCTGGGACCGAAAACAGTATGGTTCTGGGGGGGCAAAAGGCACTATCAGATCACAGACAAAAGGTTTACGCACTCTCCAGTTCTCATACATGCTCCCCACGCCCATGCAGTCCTCCACTTCCATGTCAGCATCTCGGTTACAAACGCTCCTCAAGGCTTCCAGCAGGTCATCTGCAAAGCCTTCCACCATCTCCCGCATCCTGGCCATGTCTCCGGTGGTACCCAGGATGCGCTTCTCACAGAAGCTGGCCAAGACGGCCTTGTCAGGAAACGCCACACCTTTAAACGCTTTCCCCAGGACAGCCATGTCATCCTCTTCTCCTCCTGTGTCCTGCCAAGTCCCTTCCTGGAAATCCTGCCTCCAGAGCTCAATCATCAGGAAGATGACCATGGAAAGGGCAGTCCACATATCCCATGGGACCTTTTCCTCTTTGCTTTCCTCCACCACCTCTGCAGCCTTTTCCAGAGTCTTCTGAGTGGCTTCCTGGGCTGCAATCTCCTGCTCCAAGCGCAACCACTCCAGCCGAAGGGTCTCCTCCCGCTCCTTCATCTTCTGGATGATTTCTTCCGTGGTCTC